TTTAACTTCCCATCTTCTTTCCTTTTTACGTTGCAATCTAACATTGGAAGCTCCCCTTCCTGACTTTCTAATTCATAAGTGAATTGAATTGCCTCCACCTTTGAGTTGATGTGTTCGAAAAATCTATCTATATCTTGTGTTCTAAGTACAGTGAATGTGTCATCTGCATACCTCCACCATACTTTTGGGGTGGGGCTGAACGTTTCAATCGCCATGTTTTCCCACCTATCCATGAATATATCTGCTACAACTGGGGATATTGGTGATCCCATGGCAACTCCCTCAGTTTGTTTGTATATTTTCCTTTGGAATTTAAATACTATGGAAGTCAGGCATAGCTGCACTCCCAGAATTATGTCCTCAAGTGGCACTTTCGTCCTAAGTTCGAGTTGGTGGTCAGAAATGAGTTCGTTTTTGACTTCGTCCATAGCCATATTTATTGGTAAATTTGTATTTAAACTGACAATGTCAAAACTAACCATTTTTTCTTCATTATCTAATTTTAAATTATCTAATCTATGTTTTAGTTCATAAGAATTTGTTAGTCTAGATTTTGAGTGGCTTTTAAGGGGATTTAATACCATAGCTAAATATTTAGACAATTCATAAGTAGGTGGATTTCTAAAATCAACTATAGGTCTAATAGGGTATCCTGACTTATGAACTTTAATAACACCATACATCCTACTAGGGTTATTAGTTTTGGGCATTAAATTAAACCATTTAGACTCACCTAGAAACGGCTTCATTCGGCGTATAAGGTCCGCTGTGGATTTCTTAACTTTATTCATAACGGTGTCTATTGATTTATTAATTTCCTCAAATGGTCCGGTTTGTATGTGAGTAATTACCTTGTCCAAATACTACCACACTGCCAAAGTTTTACACATATATCAGCATAAACATTCTTTTGATTGATACACGTGTATCACATCTACGCCAGAGATGATTTAAGTTTTCAAATGTCACACAAGCCGTTTGTATCCTTGTTAAGATTTCGTCATCAGTCAGTCTATTAGGACTGATGCGGCTTCACAAATATTGTAGGGTACATGTTACAGAGGGAATACCCTTCTGTGTTTATTTTCCTTGGTATTTATCTATTCGCCTTATTAACCAATGATTATCACGAAGTGTATTCACCATCAGAGAAGCAAACCATCACCCCCCCCCCCAGTTTACTTTGAAATTATAATTCCTGCTCTAAAGTCCACATATTGACATCCATGTTGTGTTCTATTAAACTACTCCTCTCGAAGTAACGTATTCTGACTGACTTTAATTCTTATTTAACAGAATAAAGTAACATAAAACTTAGATATTTAATCATGAGCTGACATTAGTTAGAGAACCATTGGAAAACATGAGAGTACTGGACAGCTGTTTCGTCAGCCTAGTTTGGGACTCTTCAGCAGTACCCACCCACCGGGATTCGAACCCACGACCTTCTGGTTACAAGGCGAGCTCGTATACCATTAAGCCACTGGGACCCGATCCAATGGTCCATGAATTCTAACTTCTGCCAATTCACGACATAGCGCGAACCCTAGCCAATGTCTTCGGCAAGTATTTGTCCTCACGCCCGACCTGCTGCACCCTACTGGTCACGACTTCTCACTAGGACCCCAGGTAACTACCTGCCTGAATAGGGCAAGTCACTAGTGAGCATCTCATTGATATTCAAGTGTTGGTTTGTAGGGATTTGATTGGTTTCAGTATTTTCATCATGAGCTGACATTAGTTAGAGAACCATTGGATTAATGGTATACGAGCTCGCCTTGTAACCAGAAGGTCCTGGGTTCGAATCCCGGTGGGTGCGTACTGATGAAGAGTCCCAAACTAGGACGAAACAGCTGTCCAGTACTCCCAGGTTTTCCAATGGTTCTCTAACTAATGTCAGCTCATGATGAAAATACTGAAACCAATCAAATCCCTGCAACGACAACATTAGATATTTTAAGTTAGCCTGCCTTGATTACAGACAAATCTGATTTTATGCGAGTAATTTTCATGATTCCTGTGTGAAATTAATTTTATTCTCCCAAAAACAGACATATGGATTAACTTAAAGAGGAGAAAAAACAGTGGAAAATTAATGAAATCAAAAAGTACTTTTTCCATGGTTGTTGTTACATTTATTTTCTTTCTCCCTGTTTAGTTCCTTTTTGCTTTCTCTACGGATTTCTATATATATGATGTTAACACATCTGTTCCGATAGCAAGGTGTAATTTCATAAAATATACATGCGCATTAGAAAATTGTTTCTTTGACTCTGTTATGGTTTCATGTATAGTTGTACCGAAAGAATTGGCATTAGTTTGAAAGGAAACACCTGGCTAGAGTGTAGTGTATGCATGTATATGCATATATATATGCACATACACACTAAGCGCGAGCGCAACCGCGCGCAAAACAATCACATATTTGTAAAGGTACAGGACAGGAAATGTTTCTCGCTTATCGAAACAAAACTATTATGTACTTGAAAAAGAACTAGACAATATGTAATGTTAAATCTGTTAAAGTCACACACTGCGAACACACTGCTTTACATGATAGAATTCCTCTCCCACTAGGTAATTCTCTGATATACGTGTCAGTAGACGAAAATTCATAATCGATTTTTGTTCCCCCTACTCAGTCAGACTCTGATTATCTATAACGTTAAAATCAACATACTTCACAATAAAAAATGTGAAGCATTACTGACAGAAAGGAATTTATCTAGCCTCGATTTTGTCACATTCTGATTCATGTTAAAAGATAAGCAACTTGAGACTGAATACCTAAGACGAGACGACAGTTCTGTCATAACTTCTACTGCACTAAGCTCAAGAGTAAAAAATGTTTAAAAAAGTCAGGACTGACCTCTCCTGATGAAAAAGCGCATTATATAAGTATATATGTACACCACAAATAACTGTTTTGATTGCTTGTGTAAGATTGGGCATCAGAGGTTGTCCAGTCAAAGTCAAAGAGTGATAAGTAAAGAGGATAAGTTAATTGATGAGGTTGTGAAGCTAAATCGATCGAGATGAATTGGACACGTGATGAGCATGTCAAAACCTTCTTCAACGAACTGAGATGCGATTGGGTTGATAAAGAGTTTATGGTGGTCAAACCTAAACGTGACATCACTTAATGAAATCCTTTTTGATAGTGGGTTCGAGGCAGTCACGTAGGCAAATGCAGACTGCTTGACTGGGGCCCCTGGGATGCTAAGAAGCTATGGCTAGAGATTGTAGGTGATATGGCTGAAAATTGGTCTCAGCACCGCAGACGTGTATTCTGTCTTTCTAATCGCCTACATTCATTACTTCAGCGACTCAGGGATTGACTCCTTACCATCAGCAGATAACTTCGTTGACTTACAATATGCAGACGATATAGTCCTACCTCCTAAGTGAAGACGCTGACAAAATAGAACAGAGTCCTCTGAACACCCTGACGAGTAGCAAACTTCGAATGTTTGGCATGCGATTCACCTGCTCCCGTCAAATGCAAGATGGTGCTACAAAACTGGACTGGACTACATTGATTCACTCCTAGCCTGAAGAAGATAGGGAGTGAAGTGGTTGGTAGCTGGAGCCTGTTGACCACTTCACTTATTTGGGGAGTTGCATCAACCAACGCCAGAGGGTTGATCACTGACGAAATCTCAGCACGGATACAGAAGGCTTGTCTAGCATATGCCTGCTAGCTTGCACCATCTCTGGCTTAGTAGATGTGATATCAGGCTGGCTGTCAACCAAAGGGCGTGTGTACTGCTCAGCAGTCCACTGCGTCCTCCTCTGTGACCATGAGTGAGATATGGTCATTGAGAGTGGAAGACATGAAAAGTCAGGCTAGCTGTCTTCGATCATTGTTGTCTCCAGTCTATCTCCCGTGTTAGGTGGTATAATGTTGTGAGCACTATCGAAATTAGGCTTCAGTTGAATGCTAGTTCAGGAGGGGAGATCAATCGACGAGGTTGTGCAGCAGTTGCATATATTGAGATGGTTAGGACATGTGTTACGCATGCCTAGGTGATGTTAGCTGAAATAGGATGGATCAGGTTGGAAAAGATTTAGCTAGCGATGGTGGTCAAACGAAAACAAGGCTTCATCAGTCAATGAGATCCACAACAGTTAGCTTAAGCCAGCGGGCCAGCCACGTCTGGAGATGTAAGCTTTCTGGTTGGGGTCCTCGGGATGGTTAGAACCAATGGCGACTGGAGACAATTTGTGATATGGCTCAAAATCGTCCTCAGTGGCTGGCGCAGATGCATCTACTCTTTATGATTGATTATATTCAATAAAATTCCATTGTTCTTCCATATTACTATTCTTGTTACCTTACACTTCTGTTTATTATCTCTTTACTCTCTAGTCTTGCTTTGTGTGCTACATGGATGGAGAGTAGTAACTCGAACAGCTGCCCATCTGTGCAAAGTCTTGTGTAAACCAGTTAGTCAGTCAGTCTATATTCTTTATATCTTCATGTTACAATTTTTTTTCGCCTACACATGTCTGTTCATTGAAGTTCTTTCCAATCTCTTTTTTTCTGTACCTTTGTGTGAGACATGTAGTGTGTCAACTTGAACTGCTTCACTTCGACGTTGAAGTTCAGTCAGTTAAACTAGAATAGATTTCTTGATGGATACTTGACAATTACTATTTTTATCATTTTATTCCTAGTGGAACAAAGGGCTTCAGCCTTGAGCTTTGAAGATTAAATAGCAATGGGTTAATTTTTACGGGGTGGGGTTGCTATCCTCACGCCAAACCTCCACTCTTTACTGGGCTCACTAATGGCTTAGTGTGCTGTAGGGCTGCTTCGACCAGGGATCCTACCCCAGAGCACATGGATAGTTGGCACGGATTCTATCATCGAGCCACCGACGTGATTCGTGACAATACTATGCACTTATTAACAATTCCATGAAAAAATGTCATCACGATCACTTCACATAAATCATTCTTTGCCCATTCTTCTTTTGTTTTTGTTTTTTCCCTTACAGATCCCATGCATACCCAATATACCAACTCAAAAGTACTCAGATTCTTCTCTACTTATCCCACATCAAATGCAATCAATACATGAACAAATTCAAAACAGTCAAGAAACTAACCAATTACTACAGTATATTATACAGAATAATCTTTCTCAAAATTCCAATTTAAGCTTATTAAGTCAACTTCTTCAATCTCCGGCTATATCAAATGAATCAGGCAATGTTTGGAGTTCAATCATTCAACCATTGACAAAACAACTGATTCAACAGTATAATCAACAAATAAATGCTCACAATGAAAATACAACTGATACTACTGTTACTACTAACAACAATAATAGTAGTAGTAGTGACAATAATAATAATAACAATAACTGCCTACAACAACAACAATCTCTCTCAGAACCAAAATCACAATCTGTATGGATGGATGGATCTAATATACAGCACAGTATTACAGAAACATGTCAGCCAGTGCCACTCCCCAATGTACAGTTAACTAATCAACTACAAAACATTCCTATCATACGTAATCAAGATGTCACTAGTACACAACTTGAAGCTAATTTGAATAACATATCAGATATAGTTGAACATGAAATGGAGAAACTAAATTTACATGGAATAACAAAACATCAAGAGATGAATACTAACAGTTCTGGTAACTGGAGTAATAATACCGTGTTATGTAATAATATGAATGACAGTGTCAACACTACTAATATGAGCTACTCAGGACAATTATCTAATATACCAAGGTTGATGAATGTAAGTTTATGAAATTAATATGATGGTAATGTTAAATTAAGATAAATGTATGAATACTTGTGTGCATGTCTGCGAAACGCAACATACATCCATGGCTCGAGATGCCAGAGTTCTTGCTAGTGATGCCTGTTGTCCGATTTGGCAGGGGGTCCTGACGTTGAATGCTCCTATATGAAGTTGGCAACGTGGCTGTAAGAGGCCATCGGGGGTGTTTCTATAGCTCTCATCGTTGTTTGTGGTCACACAGTGAAGTGAAGATGACTCACTAGCCTGAAGAATAGTACCAACTGTAGTAGGGGAGTAAGATGATGAGGGTGACAGAGACAAAGGAGGATGATCAACAGAATGGCTTCGTGTGCTTTTGGAAGTGTGTGAGCGATTGTTACTTCCTGGCTGCCCACACCGTGGAAGTTGATTGCTTCTTCGAGTACCTGAAACAGAGAGATGATTAGTGTTGCGTGACCACAGAGCCCAGGTGACAACTGCTTGAGGCCGGTCACACAGGACCTGTATGAACTGGTTTCTTGGTTTACTCCGTATTAGTAAACTTACCGCCAGTTACGGAGCACCGTAGGGTAAGTTGGGATGTACAACTGCCGGGGTTGACCTTTTATAGCCTCCTCTCTCCAGAGTGGAGATACAGCATAGCTGGCATGCTGGTCATCTGAGGGAAACACCTCACTGCTGTTACATACCTGTTCCCCAGCAGTACGACTTCGTCCACAGACCCCCCAGTATAGTGTAAAACAAATTCTTACACTATGCCGGTAACTGCTTTTGGTCTAATCACTATCCTAACAACCTTCCTGGCATAGTAGAACCCGCAAAAACAATAGTTCCAGCCAGTGTAGCTTGTTGGGTCATTGCGATGTGCAAGCCTGACCACCACGTCAAGGCAGCAGCTATCGGTCGGGCAGTAATTTATTGGTTTCACATAATTACATAAAATGTGTGACAAATAAGGTATTGTAAATTTGTTATACTTAGTAGTCGTCTGAGGATAAAGTCTTTTATAATTGTTTGTAGTCCTACCTGATGAGATGCAAGGTGAGCGGTGTGTATAAAGAGAATGCTCGACAAGATGATATTCACCAATTTCTTCCATGAATTCAAAGGTATGTCCACAACAGTTTTAATGAGTTGGCTCAGTGACACTGTACTCACTCTGCTAACAGATTATAGTGCCCACCGAAATGTAACAGAGTCTTTCTTAGGTAGCTCAGGAAAAATTAGGCTGGGCGAGAAATAAATCAGAATAGTCAGAATTAACAAACTGTAATCCAAGGTATTTAACACTCAACTTAGTTTCAACTTCAGCGTCTCTTATGATACAAGAATCCTAGGAACGAACGCGTTCATGTCAGTCACCTCTTTGTTTGAAAGTCAAATTAACAATCTGATATTTGAAGGAATTTAGGCCAAAAACTACTGACAGATTTCTGATAATAAGCTGTTCATTCTGTAAAGGATAACCGGCATGACAGTAGTGAGTTTATCAGCGTATTCAACAAAGTTTACTTCATTAGAATGTAACAAGTAGTGTAAGAAGAAAGAACAGTACGCTGATGGACACCGGCTACAGTACGTGAATCAGTCACTGATTTTCTTCCATACACAGTGAATCGCCTTCTTATCAGAAGAATAAGAACGCAACCATTTTCAAATCCAACACTCTATGTCACAGCAAGCTTGTTTAACAAAAGTGGCCTAAACACACAGTCAGTGGAGAGTGTGTATTCTAGGAAGGCGCACACAACATATTTAGCACCACTGTTTAGACTGGCAACAATATTATGATGTAAGTCATCAGTGGAAGATTGTTTTGAGTCATTAAAAGCCTTCAAAGAAGGTTCAAGGTTAAATAAAATTAGTTTTTTCCATTATTTTTAAATATGGTGAGGCAATAGAAGCAGATTTAAACCTAACGCATGATTCACATGATGATTTAAGCATCAGAACAACGTCCCCCTCAAAAAATGTGGATTCAGACTTTATACTACTGATAAACAAGTTTGGTTGTATGTAATCAGTGGCGACTTAAGTTTAAGCGAATAATTTATTGATGACAGAATACATGTTATCAGCTCTATTTTGCAGGTATTTACGACAGAAAGCAATACCGGCGAGATAAATAAGGAGCAGTTAGCTATTAAGTCCTACTCTCAGGCTTCTCAGTGTGCTGCATCTTGGAACTGTAAGATGACAGCGCTTTCCTTTGTATCTGAATTTCAGCGACTGATAGATGCTACTTGACTAAGATAGCTGATTTTATATATAGAAGTAATCCCTTTTTAGTTCAGTTTTAGCATATCTCGAAAGTCAAATGAAGAATAGTGAAACTAGAAACTACTAATATCGAAGTATAAGTAGTCCTTACTTAACTAGAGAATCCTAAGAAGTGTTGAGCAACTGAAACAACACTTTCCTCACACTCCGACTACTTTATTTTCTATTTGTGGAAATAAGGAGCTCTAACTGTCAAAGAGTAAAACTTGCCATTCTCAGTCAACTACAAGAACATAAAATTTTTATTTTAATTCCGGTTCAGGTAATAATAATAATTTATTCTCTTAATAAACTAATAATTCCCATTGCCACTTCAAGAACACAGTATCCATCAGGCCTACTACAAGTGAGGTTACACTAAATAAAAAATAAAGAGTCGGAAAGCAAAACTTACAGCGAAACGTGTAAGCGGACAATAGCGTTTTCATTTTCGATCATGAGTTGACTCCAGTTAAACAACCATCGGAAACTAGAGAGTACTAAACAGCTGTTTCGTTTTTGTTTGGGACTCTTCAGCAATACGTATTCCTGATCCCACACTCCATGGATTGAACCAACGACCTTCATTTTACAAGGTGAACTGGTACACAATGGCTGGAGACAATCGGTTATATGTTTCAAAATCGTTCTTAATGGCGCAGATGCATCCACTCCTTGTGACTTTTAATACACAATAAAACTACATTGTTCTTCGATATCTCTGTTTACTGTCACTATTTTGCATTACTTTTTAATTTCTTCCCTTTCTTTGTGTGCTACATGGAGTGTGGTGACTCGAAATGCTGCACATTTGTGCAAAGTTCAATGCTGAAGCCAGTCAGTCAGTCACATAAGGAATCCAATGGCCCATCAGTTTTAAATTCTGCCTATTCACGACATATTTAGTGCAACAGTCAGCCAGTATCATCAGTAAGCATCTGACCTTACACCCAACTTGATGGATCCTGCCGGTCACGACTTTCTACTAGAACTTCAGGCAACTTCATCCTGGAGTGAGTCACTAATGAACACCAGATAAACTGACTTCAGTTGTCCACTACTCCATGGATTTCAGTGGTTCTCTAACTGAAGTCAATCTGTGATCAAAGTTGAAATCAATCAAGTCCCTGCAAACCAACACTTGAAAATGTTGGTTTCAATTAGATCTCTTAGAGCTTTACTCCTGTCAAATGTTCAGATCGCTAAAGATACTGAACTTATCGCTGATTCCAGAAGACTAGTCAGTGCCTCAGAATACTATTTGCGGTAACCGATGAGAGAATATCAGAAAACGGATTGGCAATACCTGGTTTGTTTATTCCTTCACCGACGACTAACCAGAACAACAAGGTTACAAAGCGCAAAGTCTGTAAATACACGTTAATATAAAGCATACTAATACTTCTGATCGTTTTTCTCCACTTTTCTGCCAACTAGCGTACAATTAGGCAACAGCTGCCATTGATTTTCCCCGCCGAATAGAGGTCAGCTTGAATAAAACAATTCATATGTTGCTCCTCATTCACCAACGTTAACAACCCCCATGATTACAATTTTACAGACCATCCTAATGACAAATCACCGTGAATTGTTTACTCTTCATATTTACTTGTAAATCTATGTATATTTGAGCAAAACCTGATGAGATCTATTTGAAAACGATAATGTTTACTGGTATGCTTTGTTCTATATAACTATTTAACATAAACATATTATGTATGTCACTATAAAGGTTTAGAAATTTCATTCAACATGTCTGAAAAATTCCAGAACTAGTCTTCACATGAGAATTTGTCCTGAAACTTTAACCAACTTGAAATTGTGACAGTATAATCAACATGGAAATTACTTGTATTATTAAAACCAAAAAAAATATTTTTCGATATACTGACCATTTGAACTTTGCGTTTGACTACACAAGTGAATTAAAACAAAAATTTATTGTTTATAGTAAATTTCAGGAATAAATTGTACTGTGGCCTGTCAATGCCATAGTGATAATGATGTAAAAGGTATGCCTTAATGTGGTGTAAACTAAATTCTGATTATGCTTACTCGAAGTTCTGTGGCAAATATTAAATATTAATGCATAATACTGCATACTACTGATTGATTCATATAAGTAGTTGAATTTCACTCACATCAAATAGTAGTGCAACAGTTCGAGTCGCCACACTCCATGTAGCACACAAAGCAAGAGAAAAATAAACGCAAAAAAGAGACAGTAAGCAGAGATATGAGGCAAAAAGAATATTAATATCGAAAAACAATATAGTTTCATTGGGTATTATAATTCACAAGGAGTGGATGCATCTGCGCCACTGAGAACGATTTGGAGCCATATCAACAAATGTCTCACGCCATTGGTCCCGAGGACCCCAACCAGACAGTAGTCTACACCTCTCGACGTGGCTTAAACTAGCTGTTGTGGATTTCATCAATTGATGATGAAGTCATATTTTGGTTTGACTACCACTGGCTCTTTTCCAACCTGATACGTGCTATGTCAGCTAACATTGTCCGTCGAGGTAGGTGACGGCTAGGCGTGCTTGCGTAACACATGTCCTAACCATCTCAATTGATGTAACTTCACAGCCTTGATTTTCCCTCCTTACCCAGTACTCGACCGAAGCCTAACCTCAATATTTTTCGCACTATCATACCACCAACCAACATGGGAGATAGAACGCAGGCACCTATAATCAAAAACAACTAGACTAACTTTTCATGTCTTCCACTTTCAATGGCCATATCTCACTCACGGTCACAGAGGAGGACTCAGTGGACTGCTGAGCAGTACACACGCCCTTTGGTTGACAGCCAGTCGGATATCACATCTGCTAAGCCAGAGATGGCGTCAATCGGCAGACATATGCTAAACAAGCTTTCTGTATCCATGCTGAGATTTCGTCAGCGATCAACCCGCTAGTGTTGGTTGGTACAACTCCCTAAATAAGTGAAGTGGTCAACACGCTCCAACTACCGACCACTTCACTCCCTATCTTCTTCAAGCTAGGAGTAAGTCGATGTAGTCTAGTCCAGTCCTGTAGCATCATCTTATATTTGACAGAGGGAGCTAATTGCATGCCAAACATACGCAGACTGGTGCTCAAGGTGTTCAGAAGACTCTGCATTTTGTCAGCGTCTTCACCTAGCACGGAGGACTATATCATCTGCATATTCTAAGTCAACGAGATTATTCCCTGATGGTAACAAGTCAATCCCTGAGTCTCTGAAGTGAGTTAAGGTTAATTCCATTAGTACATCTATGATGAAATTGAATATAAATGGGGATAGTGGGCATCCCTGTCGGACACCACTAGTTGTCACCACTTCAGATGACAACTCGCCGCAAGCTCTCCCTTTACAGCCAAATATCGCCAGAGACTCTCGGTCGACAGAATCAAATGCTGACTTTGAGTCAAGAAATATAACGATTGTTGGGCGCCAGTAAGTATGCCTATGTTCAAATCAGTGAAGTATGATCAAACTCTGGCCTAAACATGCTGTTTCTCGTGGTTGTACGTCCCGAGCACCACTTAGTCTACGCAAAATTATTGAGCCTATGACTTTAGATACTATATTAGTCAAGCTAATCCCTCACAAGAAGACTTGTCTCCTTCTTATATATCGGGATGATCAGTGACTTACACCAACCCGATGGGACTTCCTCTGATTCCCAGACGCTGCCTAGAACCTCCGTTAACGCAGACAGTAAACTGTCGCCTCCGTACTTAAATACCTCTGGAGTCAATAAATCAGGTCCCGCTGCTTTGCCTAGCTTCAGATTAGTGACAGCTTTAGTAACCTCAGTTAAAGACGGAGGACCTGTGTCTATATCCCATTGGGATTTAAGTGTACATTGTACGCGTACAAGAGATAATGAACTAATTGCCTAGATTGATTTCTTTTCTGGAATACATAAGAAATAATACTATTGATAAATTCAACTTTACAGCCAAATATCGCCAGAGTACCTCTCGGTCGACAGAATCGAATGCTGACTTTGAGTCAAGAAATATAACGATTGTTGGACGCCGGTAAGTATGCCTATGTTCCAGAATCTGTCGAAAGGTGAAGATGTGATCAATACAATACGGGGTGAAGTTGCTATGCTCACGCCCAAACTTCCCGCTTTATCCGACATGCTACTGGTTGAGCGAAGATTAGGAGTGGGTTAGCTGGGAATCGAACCTGAATCAAGTACACGGTTAGCGAGCCTTCTATCCTGGAACCACTGACTCAAAATATTATATTAGATAAAGAGAAACTAAAGATTATTTCTAAAATGTTCCAAATTAAGTGTTAATTATTCACGAACTATGACGCAGAACACTCAGAAATGTTTTCTCCTATGTATTTATCTATTCTAGATAGATTTTGAATTAGAACAAATTCGTTGAATTTTATTTTATGCATCTCTAACACTATCTCATTATTATTTTCTATCAGCAGCACGAACGTCTTTGGATGAGAAACTATCACAGGGATAGATTTGTTGTACGCATCACATCAGTAACATATCGTTGTTCATGTCGATCGAATACACCACAAAATCGTCATCGTACTGCTGACATTAAACGAGATCATTGTCAAGGTAAAGAATGCAAACGAAGTGATCAACGTACCTATGTCACCTTCCAGTCTCAGTTGCCTAGTTTACTTTTACCTGACAATGCTAGAAAAACTGCAAGACATTTATATCACATTCCGTTAACTGGACTTCGATTGGGATTTACTTGTCCATTGACGAGCCAAGGACCACCTATGAGTGATTTCAATACGCCGAAAGTAGCAGAAAGAGTAAGTTAATTTTCATGCAAGTATTTTAAAACATCACTATATTCTACTGATTTTATCAAATGAGTAGTTGCATACCATTCATATTAATTAGTGAGCGGATCTGAATCAAACCGGATACACCGCTGATCAGTTCAACCCAAAATGATCTAAATGGTCGTCCGTTGTTTAGGTAACTCCGATCTGACTTGCTAGCAAGCAGTACTGATCACATATTGTGATCTGAATCATTTCGGTTTTCAAAGGAAAACCTGGTGGAATTTCACTTCGAACTGCGTAAATTGTGAATTTGAGATATTTTTCAATTTTACGTTTCCATTTGAAACCAAGTCCCACATCATTTACTAGGAACAATTTTCCTATTCCTCTGTGTTCTGAATGAAACCTAGGGCTTCAGGTGTGAAATTTGAAGTTACAGTGGTGATGTTTTTTATATGGCACAGTGTTTCTAGCCCTACGCCTAACCTTCCCTCTTTACCAGGCCCACTGTAGGCTACGGGAGGTTTAGGAATTTGTCGGCTGAGAATCAAACTCGGAAGACGTGCACGGCTGGTGAAAACCCTACCACTGGACAGCTGACGCACATTAAAAACAGTTAGCAAAAGGATGGTCGATTCACTTATCTTGTTTGTTAATTTAATAACCAATTATCTGTGTGTTGTTATTATAATAAGTACAGTTTCGATAGCGTAAGACAAAATTTACAAAAGCTCGGAATAGAGAGTTGATTGTATCAAACAAATCACTGACGGAAGTTCCTTTAAACAGTATTTTTACTCATTTTATTCTGAGTAGAATACATGGCATCAATCTGTGAACTTTTAGTAGCTGGGTTGTTTTCAGAAAGTTGGGTTATTAGCCTCACGCCCAATCTTCCCACTTCTCTGGGCTTACTATCACCTAGTAAACTAGACACGGCTTAGGAGTGAGTCATAAATGAACGTGGACCCCCCATAGGGACTGGAGAGCATTCTCCTACTGAACTAGCAACTCAAAACCAGTCTCTAGACCGGGGACTGAACTCGGGCCTTTCAAATGACAGGCTCACAACTACATTATGTAAAATAACCTTAGTTTGATAGGCTAATGTTTATGTGATATGATTGAAGTTGAAACAAGAGGATTCAACCTAACGAACTGGTATTCAGTAGCCTTTGACTGTTCATGTATTCCCCCCCCCCCCAATTTCAAAGATCATCTTGAAATTATATGTATAGTTGCAATGACAACCAGTGGTGTCCATCAGGGATGCCCACTGTCCCCATTTTTATATAATTTCGTCACAGATGCACTAATGGAACTGAACCTAATTGACTTTATCGACTTAAGGGCTGACCAATTTATAGGGAACAGTCTTACCGACTGAGAGTATGCGGATGACATAGTCCGCCTAGGTGAAGATGCTGACAAAAGTAAGAGTCTTCTGAGCACCTTGAGCAGAAATTTTCAAATGCTTAACATGTGATTTGCTCCTGTATGGTGTAAGATAACGCCAGAGAACTAATCTGAGCTGACCCCTAGCTTAAAGGTAGGGAGTAAAGTGGTAGAGTGTGTTGACCACTTCACTTATTTGTGGGGGGGCTGCATCATCCTTAAGAACTGAGTACTAATGAAATCTCAGTAAGGATATATAAGGTTTATTTGATATTTGCCAACTTACGTCATCTCTGGCGTAGACATGACATCTGGATACCAATCAAAGAATGTGTGTGTTGCACAGCACGTCGCCTCTTCCCTTCTTTAGGACTGTGAAACGTGGGCATTGAAAGTGGAAGATATAAAAAGGTTTACCGTATTTGACCACAGATATTTGTGTTCTATTTTACAGTGTTAGTTGGTATATTAGGGTGAATAATATTGAGGTTAGGAGTAGATTGTTAGGCAAAGAGGGCAAGTTAATCGATGATATTATGAAGCTACATATTGAACTGAAATAGCTAGGATATGCGTGGCGCATGATGATCCATCAACTTCCTATACGAGCCAGGTTAGCTGACACAGGGTTGGGTTGGAAAGAAGTGTTAGACGTGGCTAAACTAAAATCTGGAATCAGTACATGAAGTCTCTGATAGTTCGTTGGAGCCAGGTAAGTAGGTTGAATTTCGGACAGATAATCATTGACAGAATTGAGTGATTGTAACAATATATTGTAAAGTGGAACAAGTTCTAAATCATGGTCAATTGGATTTCAACTCAATGATAATGAATGATAATACGCTCACTGTGAAACCTGACGATCCTGAGATAGAGTCAGTAACCAGAGCTGCCGAATATTTCCAAACTAAAAGAAAACATTTGTCAGGTGATTTTTGGTATTGATGCTACTCAGCATTTCTGATTTACAAAAATTTCATAGGATGGTATGCATTGAAGTTATGAACAGAATCTAGTTTGTAAGGTACATCGCATATTTCAATGAATGAAGTATGGTAGAGAAAATCTAGAGTAATTTGTGCTAAATTCAGTTGTATTCAGCTCTGATCACTAGTCGTACGTACATCAGTATGTGTAGTTTTAGATAACCAAATCATAAATGACTAAGTTATAATAAAATGCGGCGACTAAAATTATCAGAAGTGCGTCATTGGCACAGCGGTTAGGACGCTCGCCGACCATACACATGGTCCGGGGTTCGATCCCCGGCCACAGACTCACTCTTTTACCTCCCCAAGCCAGATATAAAGGTGATAAGGAAGAAGGGTTGCGCATGGGGCTAGCAACCCCATCTTGTAAAAATAAACACTGCTACAGAAACTTCAAGCCTCTAGCTTGAAGCCCTATGTTCCACTGGGAACGTGAAGGAATAAAAAAGATGATCAGAATGTTTCAAAATTAATAACAAGATCATTATTCAATTATTCCAACCAACGTATCGAATAAACTAATCTTTTGCATACATTTCTTTTTTCTCATTTTAAGCTGGATGCATGGGAACAGGCTGGAAATCGACCAGGTTTTCGTGTACAAGTATTGACAGCACTGCAGCAAACAGTTCGTCAAATGCTTGAATTGATTAGAACTAAAGGGTTTGGAGCAGTGAAACTTGATACAGATTATGTATTTTTTCCACCAGCACCTGATTTACAGTAAGTAAAACTCTTAAAGAAATTACCTGTTTGCACTATTTCAAATTCGTTTGAACCCTTTCTGGCTTCAATTGTCTACACTCGATGATGAAGATGAGATGGCCGGCTGGAAAGGATCAACAACAAGCAACTCTGGGAACAGACCAAAGAAAAGCCGATTGCATGAAAAATATGTCAGAGGAAATAAAGGTGGATTGGCCGTAAGCTGAGGAGGTCGTTGAGCAACTTAGCACGCCAGACCTTCCAGTGGAATTCCAATGGGAAACGGTGAGTTGGACGTCCGAGGGTCACATGGAGAAGATGAGAGCTTATGGGCAATCGTGGACCCAGCTAAAGTAGGCTGCAGAGAACAAGATGGAAATGTGCTGTGCTGTTCCACTCCGAACCTTAGGGAATAATGACAATTCTATGTATGAATGAAATCATGTTTGTTTCTGGAAAAACATTATAAAGGGTTCTCTATGTAAGATTTATAAGTAAAGCAATAGAAACGATTTAAGTTAAAATGTGACCTTAGAAATGTGTGGAACACTGACAAAAAGGACCGACTAATTACGAAACCGTAATTAATTTAAGATTATTATTATTTTAGAGGAGTTACTGAAGGCTATTTTAGAGAAAAGGATTGAGGTTCATATGAGAGACATAATCATAAATACTTACTCCTCTCTGTTAAGTAACTTGGTAAATTTTCAGTTTATACGACATTAAGACAGTCTTTAAGGTTACTGTTTGACCGATTCGAACTAATACTTCACATCGAACTGAACACTGAAGATGCTGTCTAGAAAGACAAGGAGAGGTTCGCAGTTAAATCATCCAACTCAAAGAGAACTCAGCTACATCAAAACATCCACCAGAACTACAAATCTACATTATTTCAAATATGATATTTTTCTGGTTAGTTTACTTTTGGAATTAAACAGGTAGGAAGAGCATCACATAGGAAGCGAGAATATAAACAATTTAATGTATAACTGCGATGAAAGAATACAGAACACGACTCGTAACTATTACGCTGTTAGACTAGTTTGTGACTCGTCTCTAAGACGTGCTTCGCGATAGATGATCTTGGACATCCATTTCCAGTGATTTTATTTGTTGCTGCAGCCACATCGGAATATGTTCTGTAGTCCTAACCTGTAGAGACCAGTAGATCCTCCCTATGTACATGTAGCCGTACCTACATATAAATTGGTAAAAACAGTGGGGTGTGACACTATCGCTCGGATACTGTGAGGGTTCACGGTGCAACATAGATCTCGTTTTGTCTATGAAAATAAGTTTGGCTGCATAGTAAGTTCTATTAATTGTCGCCCTGAGTTTTTGTTTAGTGATCAGACTTTGTTGATCACCCTCGGACTGTAAGGATATATAAACATCTTTTCTGAGAGCTGGTTGGATCCGTGAAGCCCTTTTTTGATAATTTCGTAAAGCTTAGTGAATTTCAGGGGATAGTTGTTATCTGACATAATTCTAGTGAGGTTTGGTGTCTTTTAAAACTAATCACGTCCTTTAATAATTATCAGGTTGAATAAACTTTTACACTTCAGTGAGAACTTATATCCTCTCATTTTTGAGGATCTCTTAATGAGAACGATAAGTCCAAACAAGACAAATTCTGTGGACAAACACGTTCATACTGATAGTAGTGTTTATTTAAAGATTCTCCTCTGTCAAATGTTCCAAGCAAACTAGCAGCACTTCACTTTTAGTCAGCGATTACACACAATTGTTGGAAAAAACAAGTTAAGCGTTATCATAATCCCCTCTTATTTACTTCATTAGTGGAATTTTCGCCAACCACTCCCGAGATCCGGGTTCTATCCATGGCCAACGAATTCCTTACTTGTACGACAAGTGGACCAAAACATTAAATACCCATTAAAAAAGATATTGAATCCCTAATAAATAAAATTCCAGTTTCAGGACATTCTTCGTATTCTGCTCACAAAATTCCCCTAAGAAATACACTTAAAGCAAAGTCCATTAAGGATTATCTAACGATTAATCATAAAAAACGGTTTCAATTAAATATATAAACACGTGAAACAGATCAGTTCTCAAATGATCACATCATATTTATGACTAAACAATTAGTCATTCTGGTAAAATTACCATCCTTTGTCATTTCTAAGATACGAAGCGAGTACGTTGACTATTCAGCCAAGGTGAAAGAATCCTATGACCAATGAATTCTAATTTCTGTTGCGTTGACTATTCCGTCAAAGTGGCTGAATAGTTAACGAGCTGGTCTTGTAACCTGAAGGACCTGGATTCAATCCCTGTAGGTGAGGTCATGGGTGCCTGAAGAGTCCCAAACTAGGGGACGACAGCTATCTAATACTCCCTGGTTTTCAGCGGTACTCCAACTGATGTCAATCCGTAATCAAACCTAAAACCAGTCAAATTCCTACGAACTAACACTCAAAAAATTATTAAGATGGTTCAAGTAACCACACCAAATATTAAATTGGTGGATGGTGACTAGCAGTGGAATCCACGACAACGTGCATTTCGTCCTATTTACGGGGATTCGTCAGTTGGATGTACCTGCATTCCTCAGTGAGTGACGGTGTTCCTACTGAGGCTCAAACCCAGTGCCGATAGTTTCAAAACGTCAGGGCGGTATCCACTAAACCACTTGGGCCACGAAAGCCGCCTCTCCTGCAACGGGCATCAGTAATCATTTAATTCAATTCGGACTTTCCCGTGGCCCAGGTGGACTAGTGAATAACGTTTCGGCGTTTGAAACGATGAGTACTGCGTTCGAGCCTCAATGGAAGCACCATCGCTCACTGAGGATTGCAGGTACATCCAACTGACGAATCCCTGTAAATAGGACGAAATGCGCGTTGTCGTGGATTCCACTGCTAGTCACCATCCACCAATTTACTTCAAGTTAAATGATCAGACATCACCAAAGCATCTGCACAAGGAGCCGACCTGTCAATCTGCGGCCAAGCTCTTCTGTCCAATCAATCAACGAGGAAGTCCCGACTGAATTAAACGCACCAAATATTGTTTACATTAAAAAATTTTTTATGAAATTATTTTGAATAATTATAACTAATAACGATTCTTGTTTTCCCCCTGTAAAAATTTAAAGACCAGTTTATACAAGACGTCGTCCATTGAGTTCTTCATCAGATGGTTCCCTACCAAGAGTTATGGGACTTGAAAGAATACGACGTGAAGTTTCCAATGATTCAAAGAATCATAGTTTCAATACAAAATTAAGTGAAAGTCTGCATCCGAATCAAAAACCAGAACAATCAACTTGGTCAGATGCTATTAGTAGCAGTGAAAGTGAATGCAGAAAAACGACTACTTCTACTACTACTAATAATAATCATAGTAATATCCCAAGCCTTAGTAGTGGCAGTATACCGAGAAACAGACCACGTACATGGCATCAGTTACCTGGTCATAATTCACTGGTTATATCATCACAAAATAAATCAGATTATGGAATAAACGAAAACTTATATGAAAGAGAAAATGATATGTACATCACTAGAGACAGTTTCGATTCAACGCAAATGTCAACCAATCAGTCTACACAGAATAATACATGCTGGTGTGCTGCACAAACAATGAGATGTCCTACTCATCATTCACTGGGCTACAGTTCATCACTATCTTCATCACCGATAAGATTAAATCCAAATGTACACAGTGTAGTGAATCAGATGCATCTATCACCTTACAGTACAGTGGATGAACGTTATTTATTTAAAGGAAATAATAAAAGTTAGTTACATACTTTGTACATATAATATTTCGATAATTTAATAATTCGCACTGTATAACATTTTTTTATTCCTTTTACGTTCCCAGTGGAACATAGGGCTTCAAGCTAGAGGCTTGAAGTTTCGGTAGTAGGGGTGTTTGTTTTTACGAGATGGGGTTGCTGGCCTCATGCTCAACCTTCCCTCTTTACCAGTCTTACTACTGGCTTATCGAGGTAAAGGAGTGCGTCGGCCGACGATCGAACCCCGGACCATGTGCATGGTCGGCGAGCATCCTAACCGCTGTGCCACCGACGCACTACTGTATAACATTAGGAAAAGAATATTCAGTGGAGAGACTGCTTTCACCGAATTTATTACCTAGCTTTACAATCGTATTTACATATATATGGGTTGTTTATAAGAAATTATACCCGGTGAGGGAATCGAATCAAAGGTGTGAATACATGAAATAATAATATAGTAGTATAATCGCTTTATTGCGAAAGAAAATTTTTCAACAAAATGGAGTTTTTAGCTTCCTCATATCACAACAATTTTACTTCTTAAACAGATAAAATCCGAATACTGACTGACTAACTGGTTTAACACAGAACTTTGCACAGATGAGCAGCTGTTCGAGTTACTACTCTCCATCCATGTAGCACACAAAGCAAGACTAGAGAGTAAAGAGATAATAAACAGAAGTGTAAGGTAACAAGAATAGTAATATGGAAGAACAATGGAATTTTATTGGATATAATCAATCATAAAGAGTGAATGCATCTGCGCCAGCCACTGAGGACGATTTTGAGCCATATCACAAATTGTCTCCAGTCGCCATTAGTTCTAACCATCCCGAGGACCCCAACCAGGAAGCTTACATCTCCAGACGTGGCTGGCTGGCTGGCTTAAGCTAACTGTTGTGGATCTCATTGACTGATGAAGCCTTGTTTTCGTTTGACCACCATCGCTAGCTAAATCTTTTCCAACCTGATCCATCCTATTTCAGCTAACATCACCTAGGCATGCGTAACACATGTCCTAACCATCTCAATACATGCAACTGCTGCACAACCTCGTCGATTGATCTCCCCTCCTGAACTAGCATTCAACCGAAGCCTAATTTCGATAGTGCTCACAACATTATACCACCTAACACGGAGATAGACTGGAGACACCAATGATCAAAGACAGCTAGCCTGCCTTTTCATGTCTTCCACCTTCAATGGCCAGGTCTCACAGCCATAAAGGAGGACGGAGTGGACTGCTGAGCAGTACACACGCCCTTTGGTTGACAGCCAGTCGGATATCACGTCTACTAAACCAGAGATGTCGTAAATTGGCAGGCATATGCTAAACAAGCCTTCTGTATCCGTGCTGAGATTTCGTCACCGATCAAGCCTCTGGCGTTGGTTGATGCAACTCCCTAAATAAGTGAAGTGGTCAACACGCTCCACCCACCGATCACTTCACTCCCTATCTTCTTCAAGCTAGGAGTGAGTCAATGTAGTCCAGTCCAGTTCTGTAGCATCATCTTGCATTTGACAGAGGGAGCAGGTGAATCGCATGCCAAACATTCGAAGACTGCTGCTCCTCAAGGTGTTCAGAAGACTCTGTTCTATTTCGTTAGCGTCTTCACTTAGGAGGCAGGACTATATCATCTGCATATTCTAAGTCAATGAGATTATTTCCTGATGGTAACAAGTCAATCCTTGAGTGTCTGAAGTCCGTTCGGATTAAGTCCATTAGTACATGTATGATGAAATTAAGCAGAAATGGGAATAGTGGTCGGCATCCCTAACGGACACCACTGGTTGTCATCACAGATGTTAGATGACAACTCTCTGTAGGGTCTCACCTGGCTGGCTGCATGAGTTCGAGTAGAGTGCCTTGATCAGTGCAATGTATTTTCTCGGCATTCTTTTCACAGCCAAACAAAGAATCAGAATAGATAATTACAAAAACTGAAGGTAATAATAATAATGCATAAGTGATAACTGTTTGTTCATAGATTATAAAATACGTTTATTAGCTCTTTTAATGTTGATTAATAGAATAGCTAAAATTGAATACAAAACACACATTCACCTTTTATTATTTTCTAGACATTGTACACCAACTTCAAAGACACTTGGATGCACCATATTCAACACCTGTAAGTCCAACACAATTTATCATGGGTGAACCAACTAACCACAACACAATACACGACTGTAAAGTTAATCCACCACATCAAGCTTCAACGTCATCATCATCATCACAGAATGTGAAGAAATTAGAAATGTCTAGAACACCTGAGAGTTGTACTTCAGAAGGCTTTCACACTGCAGATAATAATTCACAACACAAAACTGAAACGCATGGAAGATCAGACCACTTAAGTAAGGTAAGCTTAAATCCGAATTGTTATCAATTCAAGTAAATATTTATTTGTAAGATAAACATCTTGTGAGAAAATCAACAAAGTAAGATCAAACAGGTAAACAATTCTTTGTGTGGATTAATCTGTAATTTTCAAGTATTGGTTTTGTAGGGTTTTTGTTTGATTGAATGGAGGATTTCATCATGAGCTGACATCAGTTAGAGAACCACTGGAAAACCTGGGAGTACTGGACAGCTGTTTCGTCAGCCTAGTTTGGGACTCTTCACCAGTACGCACCCACCGCCAAGGTTCGAACCCGGGACCTCCTGGTTACAAGGCGAGCTAGCTCGTAGACCATTAATCTAGTGGGGCCCGATCCAATGGACCTTGAATTCTAACTTCTGCCAATTCACGACATAGCGCGACCATTTCACAATGTCTTCTTCGATGAGTTACTGCCTCATCTTCAACCTGCTGTACCCCGGTGGGTGCGTACCGATGAAGAGTCCCAAACTAGGCCGACGAAACAGCTGTCCAGTACTCCCAGGTTTTCCAGTGGTTCTCTAACTGACGTCAGCTCATGATGAAATCCTCCATCTAATCTGTAATTATCAAATAACCGAAAGTGGTTTATTTCATATAAGTTTCAAGATGACTTCATGAGAAGAGAAAAAGTAGACATCCTGATCACTCTCTAATATAAACATATAATACAAAACAAAAGTTCAAATGACATGGACAGTTGTAAGGTGGTCATGCGATTGATATAAGAGGCAAAAAAAACTGGGGAATGGTACTAGTAATCTTAACTATCCATAATTTTGAAGAAAAGTGTTGACACACTCACACACACACACAACCTAGTCGATGAAATTTATGTTCCTATATGTCTGATACTAAGATGAATACTGAAAACTAAGCTAAAGACATAAGGGCCAGGAAAATTTTCTCGTAACTGTTATTCACGCGGTTTGATGTAAACTTAACGATAAAAACTTTTTTCTTTATTCCTTTGCATCCTGAGTAGAGTATAGGGCTTCAAGTTGTTTTTTGAAGCTACAGTAGCGGTGATCTGGTTTCTTCTTTATCAGGTGGGGTTGCTAGTCTCACACACACACACATCCTCCAACCTTCCCTCTTCTCCGACCTTGCCACCAGCTAGTAAAGTAAACGACGTTTGGAAGAGTGTCTATCGGAAATCGAGCCCGGACCATGTGCACGCTTACTTAGCATGCACCCTACCCTTGAACCACTGACGCTACTCATTTGCTCACACATTAAAACTACCAGTTAGTCGGCCCGACCGAAAGCTACTACCTTGACGTGGTGGTCAAGCTTGAACACCGCAATGACCCAACAAGCTAAACTGGCTGAGACTTATGTCGCTTGAGGTCCTACCATGCCAGGAAGGTTGTTTGGATAGCGGTTAGACAAAAAGCAGTTACCCAATCCAATCCTATGACTTCAAATAAATCACAAAATATCATGCCGGATCGATCGGGGCCCAGATTAACAAAGACCGCGCTTCCTACTGCCTTGTCACAGGGCAGAAGTAACAAATATGCCACTGAGACACACCAAATGAAAAAGAACAAACAAAAACAGGCCGAGTGTGACCGGCCTCAAGCAGTTGTCCCCTGGGCTCTGCAGTCACGCAACCAACTTCCACGGTGTGGGCAGCCGGGAAGTAACGATCGCCCTCACAATCCGAAGTGCACGCGAAACCTCTCTAATCCTCACTCATCTTTGTCTTCATCTTCATCTCTATTATCTTGCCTTCCTTCTACTGATGCAACTCCTCTACTTGATGGCTCTTCACTTTCTCTTCACTCTGTGTCCACTAAAAACGACGGAAGTTAGTCACTAAAATAATATTATGAAAACTCTTTTGCGACGAAATATTCAGTTCTTAGGACAATTTTATTTTAATTAACAGGTACCACCAAGTTAAACTATGAAAAATCAAGGAGCATTTATTTTAATGCATAAAAAGTTACTGCCAAAAATATCAGTCAACCCATTTGTTAACCTTCATGAACTTCGCCATCAGTCATTTTCTTTCGTCTACAAAGTAGCACTGATCACCGTCAGACAGCCAACTCGTTGCTCACTTCTCTGGCTAGCCATCTGATCTTCAGTGTGCAACGAAATCAACTGTTGACGAAATTGTGTAGCTCGTTCAAAATGCTTTCTGTGACGACAGTGCACCAAGTCTTCAAAGCATATAGAAGCACTGCTTCGACATTAGTGTTGAAAGTCCAAATTCTGTTCCTTATGCTGAGTACAGTAGACTTCTACACTCATTTCAGATTAATGTAGGTCTGTCTGGCTTTTCCGACCCTATCTTAAACATCTTTATCTCTACCGACTGCAGTTGAAACGATACTGCCTAAGTAAGTGATTGGTGCTTGTTGGTGTTGTTGGTCCGTTTGGTATCTTCATCACCTCTGTCCTATCAGTCTTCAGTTGAAGTTCTGTTTTCGCTGCTTCTTCTGACAACTTGTCGATTTTCGTTCGTAGATCGTCGAGTTTGTGTGGTATTAGACATAAATCATCCGCGAAGTCCAGATCTTCCAGTGTCTTCTGTTTGGTCCACCGTAAACCCACGGTATTTTGACGGTCCAGTACACCAGACAACTAGGAATAATTCCGGTGGTAATAGGCAGGTTGTCTTGTCTTACTCCTGTCTTCTCTGAATTCTTCGTGTGAACCACTTGCTATGTTGCGTCGTCGTATATTTGTAGAATGACGTAAGGGTGTGGGGTACCCCGTAGTGTCGAAGCAGTTTCTGAATTACTTCATTCATAGGGAGAAAATTGTAAATGACATCAACTATAGGATTGAAATATCTGTTGGACAATTACATCAATTAAACGGCATTTGTTGACAGTAGTAACTGTAAACTTCAGGAACAAATAACAATACGAAAGTCAAACGTACAGCAGCTAAATACACAGAGGAGAACTTTACTTCCACGTTAATTTTTTTTTGATGACATGATTATGAACAGTAATAAATTGTGTTCGAAACTTTGTCATCCAGTAAATAATACTGTTTCATCACTGTGTGATATATCTAATAAACAAACTAATATGGAATTACTTACTACCACAGTGCCCAAGTTTTACACATATATTCAGAGAACTGCACCTTTAACAAAACGTTTAATTTTGACTTAAATACTTTCATTTCTTGAAATCAAATGTTCAAAATATCTCGCTCACTAGGCAACAATTCATTTAGATCTGAGGAGTGATCACAAACTGACTTCATTTAAAGAATCATTGAAAACCAGGGAGTACTGGACAGTTGTTTCGTCCTTGTTCGGCACTCTTCAGTAGTACGCAGCCGTGACCCCACAAGGGATAGAACTCAGGACCTCCTAAAACTAATCACCAATATTATCTGATACCATTCTATTTGTCATATGCACCAAAATGCTAACAACTTTGCCTTTTTGTAGATAGGAAAGGATAAACCGTCCAATTCTTTTCCTTTTCTGTATAGATTCTACAAGAAATTTCAAACTGCCTTCATACCAATCCTCAGTATCCCGTAGTCATTATGCCTACTCATCACATGCTTAGTTCTATCGAAGATGGACAAATTCCCACTGGGTTGAACAAAACAACACCGCTTGTTTTTCAAATACCTCATTCCGATTCAGTCTTTGTATGCTTGCCAGCCACTACTGGAGTGAATCCAAGAGTTATGACTGCATCACCGACAAATGCTGTTGTAATATTACCGTCGAATCAGATAAACCAACAATCCACCTCTCAACAACATCAAGACCCTCCAACTTCCTCCAGTCTACAACCTACTATACTAACAGGTCCAAAACAAGGATATTTATTAGTTATAACACCAGATAATAAGTATGAATATCTCCCAAATCCATAAATGAAAATTTTGAAAAAAAAAACCTGTTTCGATGTGCATTTATAAATCAAATTACTTAGCTGGTCATTTTGTCCATCACTTGTACATTGATATGATTTAAATGAAAATACAACTAAGTATACACCAATTCGGATAATTACGTCATCTCAGATTCCTTACAGAACACACCACACAAACACATGCAAACATGCACACAGGTGGGGAAGAAGACGGCCGGGGTGGATATGAGACTCTCTTATATATAATCATTATTTTTTTAATCATAGCCCATGAAACAGATTACTATTCCATCTCATACCCTGTGATAATTGAAAAACCACATTTCTGAATATATTACATTTCTTGCCTTCCTCTGATTATTCATCAAATCAACATATGAACACCTCCTTTGACAGTTCACACCTGCTCCGCACCCTCACCTGTCCTTCAGAATGAGCAGTTTATTCACTTGAAAGTTTTCAAATAAGAAACACCCTCATTGTTCTATTTTCTTAGTTAAATTTTTTTTGAAATGAAGATAATATAATTTTACTCACTTATTATTATGATTGTACAAATGACTTTTCAAGCTTGAATGATACTCAGCCATATCACCAACTAACTGTCTCCAGGCGTCTGTCCTAAGAATCCCGATGAACTCAGAAAAGCAGGCAGTCTACACCTCCCTTCTTGAACAAAGCTTGGAGTGCCAGTCACCTCTCTATCTCAACTTCATCGACTTTGAAAAGGCCTTTGACAGCGTCGATCGAGAGGTGATTTGGAAACTACTTCGCTACTACGGGGTGCCACCGACAATAATACATCTCATCCAACAGCTATACGACAATGCTGCATGCCAAGTAATCCACAACGGGAAACTTACGGAATGCTTCGAAGTGACGACAGGAGTAAGACAAGCTGGCTGCCTACTATCGCCAATGATTTTCCTGATTGCAGTAGACTGGATAATGCGACAAACAACGAGCAATGCGGAAACAGGCATAAAATGGACTCACACAAAATACTTGGAGGATCTGGACTTCGCCAATGATATATGTCTGATTCCCCACAAACTGGAAGATATGCAAACGAAAAGCAACAAGTTGGCAGAGGAAGCATCCAGAGAAGATAGGACTTCAGGTGAACATAGAGAAAACAGAGGTGATGAAGATTCCTGGCCAACACCACCAACAGCAACAACAACAACAGACAACAATCAGCATAAATGGGAGGAATCTGAAAGAAACAACCTCCTTTACCTACCTTGGAAGCATCGTTTCAACTACAGGCGGAACTGACGAGGATATCAAAGCAAGGATCGGAAAAGCAAGACAAGCTTTTACTACTCTCAAGTCTGTGTGGAGGTCAACAACACTCAGCATCAAAAATAAGATCCGGATTTTCAACTCCAATGTGAAGTCAGTCAGTACTACTATACGGATCAGAGACTTGCACTGCGCGTCATAAAGAGCATCTCAAACAAACTACAGACCTTCATTAACAGTTGTCTTCGCTCAATACTCAAGATCAGATGGCCAGAAAAGATCAGCAACAGGGATCTTTGGGAACGAACCAACCAGGAACCGATTGTGAAACAAATAGGCAGAAAGAAATGGGGATAGATTGGCCATACTCTGAGGAAACCATCAAGTGACATCACTAGACAAGCCATTGCTCGAGTGGAACCCGAAAGTGAAGCGGCGAGTTGGTCGTCTAAAGGTGACTTGGAGGAGGTCATGTGAAGAGGAGATGAAAGCGTGTGGGCAGACTTGGAGCCAGGTGAAGACTCTAGCAGAGAACAGAACGCAATGGAGACGCACGGCTGAAGCCCTATGTTCCTGTAGGAATTAAAGGATACAATAATATAATAATAATATACACCTCCCTTCGTGGCTAGCTCAAACGAGTAGTCAAAGACTTTTATTGACTGTTAAAAGGTTTTAGTTTGACCAACCTTAACTCTTTTGCAACATAATCCTGTCAGCCAATACGGTAGTTCATCATCTGCAGCATGTGTCCTGGCTATCTCAATCGAATCACCTTCATAACTTTATTGGTAATAACTTACACTCGTTATTTAACACTCTACGACGTCTAACCTCAATATTATTCACCCTATTATACCACCTAACACGGGAGACAGAATGCAAACATCCATCGTCAAAGCAAGTTAGCCTTTTTACATCTTCCACTTTGAATGAACACGTCTCACAGTCATAAAGGAGAATGGAGAGAATTACTGAGCAGTACATGTCACCTTTATGGATTGCCCCGGATACGACTGGTTTCAACGTAGAACTTGGCACGGAAGTTTGGCAACAGTTCGAGTTTCCGCACTCCGTGTAGCTCACAAATGAAAACAAAAAAAGGGTGAAAAAGCGATTTCAAACAACGATAATAATCAGAGCCGTGAGGGGGGAAGAAAGAATAGTAACATAGAGAAACAATAGGGTTTTGTTGGATATGGCAGATCACAAACAGTGAGTGCATCTAAGCAACTGAGAACGATTTTGAACCATATCACTGATTGTCTTCAGTCAATGGTTCTTAGAATCCCGAGGAACCCCAAAAAAGGCAGCTTACACCTCCATACGCGTCTCAAACTAACTGTTAAAGGCCTCATGGACTGAAGACGTGTTTTTGTTTGATCACCACTGGCTCTGCGCCTAACCTCAATATTTCTCACCATGTTATACCACCTAACACGGGAGAGACAGAATGCAAAACGTCTGTGGTCAACGACAGCTAACCTTCTCATATCTCCCATATACAATCACCATGTCTTACAGTCATAAAGAAGGGAAGAGCCAACTGATACACACATCCTTTGATGGATAGCCGGATATCAAGTCTACGCCAGGGATGGCGTAAGTCGACAAATGCCACATGAGCCTTTTGTATCGGCAATCGTCAGTGACCATCCAGTTGGGGCTGATGCAACATCCCGAATAACTTAAGTGGTCAACAAGCCCTATCACTTCACTCCCTAATTTTAACCTAGAAGTCAAGGTAATCCGATCCTATAAAATCCTCCTACATTTGACAGGCGCGAATTGCGTGCCAAACGTTCGAAGATTTCTGTTCAAGGTGCTCAGCTCAGAAGACTCTAGATTTTGTCAGCGTTTTCACTTAGGAGGATTATATCATCCCCATACTCTAAATCAATAAGTCATTCGCTAAAGTTAGTTAGGGTCAATTCCGTTTGTACATCTGAAATATATATATATGTATAGTTTATATTCGTTAACCAATCACTGAGCGTGTGATTTTTGTTTACATTAAACGACATAAAGTAGAATGTTCAAATATACATAGTATTCGGTTGCCAATGCCGTATTGAACTGTGGGAATATGTGAGAACTATATTCCGTTGATACATACTGTCTGTATCACACCACCACACTAGCACGACATTGTCCAGGCGCGTCCATGATTACTTAACAGCATGGTTGTCATAATAAGCAGAACAGCTCAATTCGGGAGCACAGTATTACTTCTAGTCAAGCAGCATCAGCAGAGATTTCATTCAGAGTCGTGAATAAAGTACAATAAAGCTGTTCAAAAAGATTTTGCTTACACCTTTTTTCAGGCAGCTGGAAATCTAGCAATTCATAAGGAGAAATCTGGACTTTGTATTGAAAAACGTTTTATTCAGCCTTTTTTATTACCATGGCCCGAGTGATAATCTTTACATTCCTGAATAGTTATATAATAAACTCTATGTAGTTCCTTTGATCTTTTTATCTGCCATAGCTAAACGTACAATAGGCTTTTAACTGACACTTAATTTAGTTCAGGTAAGTCTTATTCACTGTCTTCACATGGCGTCGGAGGTGTTCCTCACAAAAGTGAAAGGGAGAACGGGGATGTCTGGAGCTTGATAGGGGACTGATGAACATGTTGGTCTATGCAAGGGAGCTGGAAAGCCCTTATTCCAAACATTGCGGTGTACATGGGCTCCATAATCTAAAAGGATTCAATGACATATGAACCTGTCTCAGTCACTGAAAATCATGGAAACGCAGTTCCTCACGCTGCTCCACTGCCTCATGGATCACACTTCAAGTCAAAGGCTCGCAAAGCAACTTCTTATGAAAGTCATCTACTTCGATCTGGCAGTCCGAGCAGTATTCTAGCTCTCCCACAAACTATGAGATTTAGTGTGGTGCATCTCTTTGTGACCATAATGTACTTAGTTTGTGTTTTAATAATAAACAATAATTACATAAATTAGTCGCTGCGAACACTACAGAAGTGGAAAATAACTACTTATATCCATTACAGAAATAAATACCAATCATGCAACTTATATTTACAAACAGTCAATTAAATGGTATGCATTCTAAATCTCATTAGCTTGACGGTGAAATCTAGACAGCATGATACGAATCTCAGTATGAGTGCCATTACTTGCTAAGAAACAGGTACATTCACCTGGCGATGGTACGTGTTTCCCAGATTTTACTGTCAACCAAATAATATCGAGTGAACTTCAAGGCGTCGTCTGGACGTCTTTACTATGAGTCGCCATATCAACAGAGAGACTGAGCATTTCAGTCCGGTAGAATCAATCAACGGAAAATTCAAAATAGCCTCAATAGATATATGCTTTCCTTTATTAAAAAAACCTCACCGCAAAACTGTATAATATTGAGTTACAGAGTCGAATAAATAAGATGTAAGTGAACGCAAACTAGGCTTCCAAAGATGCGGCAACGCTATACTTGCCTACTCAGCAGCAATAATCTTGACCAGTAAGACTGACAACAACAAAACACAAATAATAAGTTGAATTAAATTAATCTTTATTAGCTTTAAGTTGTGCAATTAAACTTGCTCTTTGTGTTTCTGTAACATATTCAGTCAAATCTGGAGACATAAAATCAACAGCTTTTGGTATTCGAAGATAATTTAACACTTTTCCTTTGCTAACACGTAACTCAGAAGGATTTTTCGTTTTTCTATAATGTAACAATATAACTATTTGAAAAAAAATATGATTACTTCGCAGAATTCTTCTGTGTTGATGGCGGATAAGTGGGCAGTGGAGGTGGTAGTTGGGATGCTTCATTGTTGGCTAGATTTTCATAACTAATTATCACCAATTATATGAAATTAAGTGTGTAAAGCAATCTTACTCGATTTCCACATCTTCACACTCAATCTGTAATAACAACAATAAGGCATATAAATGAACTTGTATACTTACCGACTCATCACTAGAAATCTCCTCGTCATTTAGGAAAGGCATGCTACAAGAAGATAGCAAAAGGTATTATTATTTATTATTATTTAAACTCAGAAAAAACTTGGTACAATATGACACCAAGAAAGATGCGCCATACAATAATAGTAAAACATAGATTAAAAGTAAAAATATAAGTAGAAAAGGGATAAAGAACTTCATCTGGAAGGAAAAGTCATGTTTAACAAGTTCAAACAGTATTCGTTAACTATCATCAGGAAGGGAAAAAAGAAGGAAATTGCAACACGTTCGCCATTGATTACGATTCTTGGCCATATCCGATAACGTTTCGAGCCATCGATTCCAGCTATCTCGCGGACCCTAACCAGGAAGTCGTGACGCACCAACCGATGCTAATCTAGCACAAATATCCTTCATCCCACAGCGCTACATCATGGACTGACCACCCCTCCGCCTTTTCCATCCCGTCCCAGGGCTAGCGAACAGAGACCTGTACGGAAGCCTCTGGGATGACATTCGCAGCACATGTCCAAGCCACCGGAGCCGGTGTTTCCAGATGACGACACTCAATGAATGGTGATCTCCACTGTGTTCAAACACACGCCGCCGAACCTCAGAATTACTCACGCGATGATGCCATCGAACGCAAGCAATCCTGCGGAGACAACGATGATCGAACACGCAGAGTCGCCGCACATCCTCAGCTCGGAGAGGCCAGGTTTCACAGGCGTAGAGCAAGACAGCCCACACCGAAGCATTGTATACCCGACCTTTGACAGACAGGCTAACGTCGCGACGGCGCCAGAGGTGGCTCAAGTTAATGTATGCCGCCCTAGCCTTCATTATACGGTTGGAAATCTCATCCGTCACCCCTCTGCCAGCACTCACACAACTACCCAGACACACAAACTTATCAACAACTTCAAGCGGTTCACCCGCAAGAATGAGTGCAGGTACAGGCTCCTGCCAATCTTGTAACAGTACTTTGCACTTAGACGGTGCAAACCACATACCATACTTACAGACACTGAGGTATAATAACGTGTCAATGGTAACTTGCAAGGAAAAAGTGGTTTATTTCATAAAAGTTGTGATGCTGACTGCCACTTTAAAATCTGTCAACTTGAAAATTAACCCGTGCACATAAATGACTACCTTTAGTGAGAAATCGTGACCAATGGAGTTCACAAAGTCGAGTGTGAGGACGATAACTAACCGGTAATATATTTGATTCTCTCACACTACAGCATGAGTCAACAGAAGTTGACAGCTGAAGACCCTAGATTCCGATATACAAGCTAAATAGTTACGTACATATGCGATGGGGTCTAACGGTTCTCAGCTCAACTACACCTGCATTGTTTAAAGGTGACACAAACGTAAAACTTGCCAAGTGTATTCCCTGGTTTCTGAAGACTATCTATCTAATGTCAACATTAATTACAAAGTTAGGTAAGAAAACTCTTCACTTATAAATTATAGAAGCGATATGTACAAGTAATTATCATTAGGTATAAAGGACCCACAATTATCGGTGCAGTTGTGTCCTACGTTCTGAATGGTTTAGTTGCGAATCTTTCAATGTCTTTCTAGACACCTTCGGCGCACACTCCAGTATCAAGTGATCTTTCAAGATTCTTAACGAGTCTACCAGTCGTCCCCCCTGGTAACATTTATAGAAGTCTTACTGACTGACTGGTTTCAATATAGAAGTTTGCACAAATGTGCAGCAGTTCGAGTCGCCACACTCCATGTAGCACACAAAAGCAAGAGAAGAAAGTATAAAGAAATGCAAAATAGAGACAGTAAACAGGGATATGAGATAAAAAGAGTAGTATTATCGACTAACAATATAGTTTTATTGGGTATTCTAAGTCAGAAGGAGTGGATGCATCTACACCAGCCATTGAGAACGATTTTGAGCCATATCACCAATGGTCTCCAGGTTTCATTGGTTTTTACCATCCCGAGGACCCCACCAGGAAGTCTACACCTTCCTAAGTGGCTTAAACTAATTGTTGCGGGTTTCATTGACTGATGAAGCCATGTTTCGGTTTGACCACCACTGGCTCTTTTCTAACCTGATCCTATGTCAGCTAACATTGGCTGTCGAGGAAGGCGATGACTAGGCATGCGTAACACATGTCCTAACCATCTCAGTCGATGTAACTTTACTACAAGATGAACTACAGTGGATTATTTGTACCAGAGATATGACAGATATCCGATGTTAATTGTGAAATGTAGTCTAAATAACGCAATTCACGTAGTGAATACCTGTTGGTAGTCGTATGAAGAGCGTACGGCAAACGTTTATGATCAGTGAAGACAATAAACTGGAGACCGACGAAGTGGCGGAAGTATTTGGTGGAAGCGTAGATGCCAAGTAATCCGCGACCAAACGTGCTATATCGCATTTCACCTACAGACAGCTTTCTGGAATGGAAGGCAAGAGGTGTACATGAGTCGTTCATAAGTTGTTGAAGGACAGCTCCAACAGCCGTGTTAGATGCATCGACGGAAATACTGAGGGGAAGCTTTACAACCGGATGCACTGACATAGTTGCGTCTGCAATTGCCATCTTAATTTTTTAAACGCTTCCAGAGCCTTTGATGTCATACCTAATGTTTTGCACTTACTTTTTATAAGATTTGTGAGTGCAGTTAGAATATGTGCACATTGAGGAATAAACCGACGGTAATAACTAACTATGTCTAGAAACATGCGCAAAGATTTCAGGGACGTTGGCACTGAGAAGTCTTTTATGACCTGCACCTATTCAGGTAAAGGCTGAATGCCATGTTCATCAATGAAGACCTATTACGAGAAGGGGTCGCGCGACTACGGACGGACTTTTGGCTCTCATCTCTTATCTAATGCTACAAAGCTCTTCGTAAGGCTTAGTGATATGGGCCACCGCATCGAAACTCGAAGACTCGCCAGTGGAAAGATCCTTTAACTGGGCAGGGGCGTCAGATACTGCAGCCGAAGTACCCACGCTTGATTTAGTCAGCCGCCTCTGCTAACTCTAGCAAAGGGGAGTTGTGAAATGCTGCTAAGATTACCAGAACTGACTGAGGTAATCTTTGAAGCCGAACCTGCTTAAGGAAGGCGTCATCAATTTTGAAATCAGCAACTAACTATTTCATTTGCCAAAGCATTTGAGTGGTCTACGACCGGCAAGATGAACATCACGAAAGAGTTCTTGCACTTTTTGTTGGTTTGTCAGTGCAACTCTCTTGATTAAGGCAACTTTGAGACGACCATACAGGTTTGGGGAGGGATTGTCAAGAATGTCAGGAACTTCCACCACGAAATTTTCGGGTGGGAGGCTCACATTAACCAGGTTAGCCTTAGTTTCTTGTGAGTGGATATGCCTTAGGGCAAACTGAGAATCCACATGACTGAACCATGCAGAAGGACAGTGTGTCCAGAAAGGCGGAAGCTGCAGGGTAACTGCCATCTACGCAGGAGAGCCGTTTTTAGCCATCGTTGAGATAAGTTAATACGATATAGAAACACAATGATAAAACAGTACAAGTATAAACACAAACTTAACAAAAGAGTTGTCATCCCACGTGCAATAAATAAAAGACAAAATAATCAATATGAAAAAGTAAAAATATTGACAGGTTAGGCTACAAATAAGGCAAGCAGTGAAACACAGGCTCACCAATGTAAAGGGTGGGTAGCCGTAGTGGTTACTATATCACACTATACCAGCCTTACTAAACGTAATGTGCCCAATCAGTACGCTACCTGATTTGTACGCACTGATAACCAGACAAAAAATCAAAAGATTGTTATTTAGCAGGATGCTTTACTGAGCAATATATTTAAGCAGAATATAAAGGTTAAAGTTACTAAGGGGGGAGATTATAGGACTTATCTGGCTAGTATGGCTGAGCTACGTACTCTGAGAAATGCGCGTGTTACCAGCACAGAGTGGAAGAGCTTATAAACAGTGAATGAAAGCACCCAAGCAAGAAGAGATGGCGTAGCGCCTTCGTACATGTATGCGTTAAAACAAAAACTCAAAACACTCAAGAAGCACTACAAGGTGATAATTCCGGAGTTGCTTTTAACTACAGCTGAGTACATTCTAATACTACTGTTTGTTAACGTAAAAGCCTGCACTTCGCATTATTCGGGTATGAAAAAGTGCCTGGCATATGAGGTGGATTAAGGTATTATTAAGGTATTAAAAATGCCTACAATTCGTTAATTCTCGCATTCTGCCTATTATTCTCTACTGTTCCCCCTTAGTTTTTCCCGGGCTACTGAAGAAAGATTATAACATATTACGCAGGATGTTAAAGGTTGTCAGCAGGGTAAGCAACGTGCCACTTAACCAGCTTGCTAATATTCTGGTCGACAGGCACATGGACTCATGTGAAAAATGGGCTAGATCCATTTTATCTAACTCACACCACCCTCTTCACTCACAACTCTCCCCCTGCATCTCATCAGGTAAAACCAGAAGCCTGTATAGAAAATTATATGCTCGCACCAGCAAGTACAAAAACTCAACCATACCCTACTTGGCTCATGTTCTGTGTGATGAAGAAAGCATTAGGCGTGACACCTATAACTCATTAAATAGTCAGTAGAACATCTGGATCTCGTCTTTCCAACTCACATTATTTATAGGTGCAACATTTTCTTTCTTTCTTTTCCCTTTCTCTCTCTCTCTCTTTTCCTTTTTTTCCGTTATGTGCTGCTTTGCTTCTTTCACTCGCTTACGCTAGTAAATATGACAGCTCCTACTTTTCTAACACCTTCAAACACTGTTCAGCTTTACCTTTGCTACCGACATGCCAATGTGTTGTTGTAATAATGAATTGAGATTTCCTTAATCTATGTAGAATTTGATAATGTACTAAATGCATGCAGTACTGTAGTAAAAATGCTGAGAATTCCATTCTGTATCACATGTACTGTTTTGGAATAAAGCAAATTATTATTATTATTAAGCACAATAATAAGGAATGAAATCTACGTGAATCATGACAGAGGACAGGAGCTGATACATGAAAATGACTGACTACAAATAGTGAGGATAGTTCGAACTCTACCTAGATATGTATAGATTTCAAGCTTACAGTAGTTCTTAACTAATTCCAACCTATGCGTCGATAATTCCTCTTTATGGTAAAGGAATAATTTATCTACCTAAAATGAACCCGCCATGTACTGAAATAATGTTGGTCGTTCTTAAAAAAGACACTGGATGCTTGATTAATGCGACGAAACCTTAAAATTAGATTCGCAGTTGGAATAATGTTTTTAAAGCTGAAATAAAGGGGAAAAATTGCCAGTATGCTGAATCTGGGCTGAAACAATGTTGATTAGCAAACACAGTAGGTTCTGAGCTATTTCTAAAAATGCCTAGAAAATGCACAGGGTGATTAAATAGTCCAAGTCATGCGGCAAACCAGCACTGAGTTCTAGTCTGTGGGCATTATCAAAATATTTTAGAATTTACTCATTACAGAATGTGAGTTAGTTCAGAATAAGTGAGATTTAATTCAGCACAACAGTAAGCTTGGGACAAATCAGAAAGAAGGGAACTTTTAAAATATGATAGCCCAAACCTTGGACTGCCAGTTAAAATTCATATACAAGAAAACCGAGGGACACAAAAACACGAAAACTTGCTATTGGTCAGCACGCCGCACGTGACCCTGAAGGGTTTAAACTTGACGCGGTCGCCTTACTCAATATCCAATATAGTTTTCACAAGCTAGTGTGGCTGAAATTATCCCGCATGCTCAAGGTCATTGATGGAGTGAGACGCTCAAAGGTCACTTTCGTCCATGTTAGTCGGTTATGTTGGATTGCAGTTCCGTAGCCGTTCGTTTACACATTGGTTTTACGTTCTGTTGGCATTTGTAGGTGATTCCCATGTACTGATAGCATTCTTTTGTAAAATAGTACTGTTCTTCACACGAAAATAGCCACATTTTGACGTAGTCTTCATTGAATGACACTGTGTCGAAAGCTGCAGCTTCTACAAGAAATAAACTATTTGTGTAGATGACATTACCCCCCGACTACCCCATCTTCTTCATTGTAGAGATTTTTTGACGCATTCAGCATTAAACACTAATCATTACAACCAATATGCTAAGTGTGTCGCAGTCAGATTAAATGACGCGGACGCCAACATAACTAGCCAGGAAATGAGAATTCCTATCAATCTAGAAAACATATAACAAAATTTCATTGTAAATTATTGACAAAAACAATTTGCCGAGCGAAATTTCAACCAACATGCCGGATAAGTCCAGCCGCTAGTGTAAGCCAGATTGATTTTTTCGTTCTCGCTTAGTGATTGTAAGGTAATGGCTCCTAGTATTCAGTAAACTTCTGAGTAGTGCATCCTGCCACTAGATAGTCGTAGCTGTCATTGTCGTAGCTTGACTGTCCACTCCAAGAGAAATGGAACTGGGACCATCTATATGTGGTTTTGTAGTATTAGGTGTGTTAAAAGAGTGTCACTCCCGAAAATTTTGTTGATGCTTTCACTCTCAGTCGGTCGGTGTGGTCGAGAAAAGAGGTAATAATAGCTACAATTAGTGTGGATTATGTAGGCTTAAAAAAATAAATGTACCAGTAGATGATGAAATTTATGTATACACACATCTATAAAAACATTAAAATAAGTGAACGCATGAACAGAGTAGTCAGAAGAGTAAGGCAGTGGAGAATGAGCAGCAGTAAAGGGGGGAGTTCATGTGGATAAGCAACTTCGATGGAGCCGTTGAGTCTCTGTACGATTAGCTAGCCGTCGACTGAAATGTTTCTTGGACAGTGCAGTAGCCATAGTTGCTGGTAACGATTTCCAGTGATAGTACACTGCAAGAAAACATAAACAGGAGCAAACTCGAGCCTTTATCCTACTGTGTGCTATGCTTCGTGGGTTACCAAGAGGAATCCCCTACTAACGCAGTGACAGCACACCTTTATTTGAGTGATTCTACTCGTTTATTATCTTCTAGGAAGTAGTTAGGTCAGCCCTAAAGTGACAGCGGTTGGGTGTGGAAAGATATGAATTCTTCAGCTTTTCATATATGATTTGTTTCGGAGACCAACCAATCCCTTTTGTAGCTCGTCTCTGGAATCTTTCAAAATATTAGCTTCTCTTCTTAGTAGTAGGGGAACAGTGATATGGTGGACTTAAAGGCGTGGTCTGAGGTATGTTTCGAACAACTTTAGAAGGAGCTAAGGAGTGAGGGTACCTAACTGTCCAAGAGCATAGCCACACACGACCTCATCACTTCAACCATGTCATTCACGCTTGTCTATTTCTTCCGTTACAACTACACCTAAGTCGTACTCTGACAGTGAACACGACAGCTAAAAGTTATACAGGGGGTAACTTACACTCTGCGGCCTACAGATGCGTGGTTGCACTTCTTTACTTTTTCGGGTTGAAGGTCACAACGGAATCCAGCGTACCATACGGTTAAGTCAATTTGTTCAATAGACTGCAGACAATAGTGTGACGAATTGCTAATTCACTTTGCAGCTTCCGCGTTCCACCCAATGAGGTTTGGATAACATCAAATATCTACAATCCTAGAACACTTAACATGTTTATAGCCACTCCAACGAAGAACTGGGACCTTTATAGAAGCAAGTTAGAGACACCCTACATAATTCATCCTTATTCCATGCATCCCCTAGATGTAAATGTTTATGCTATAAATGCCGCTTTTTACCCAGTAAAGTATGATTGTTTGATTCAAGGTCACTTCACTGTGGATTCACTTTTAATGATGCCAAACCATTAAAAAACATTTCGATTTCCAGTAACTCTAAACTATGGCTGCCTAAAACAAAACGGCCTAATAGACGGACGTAATGACCTTAGCCAGTCGGGTGAGTTCGTATTGTTATTCACTTTGGATCCAAGCAAAACGTGGGGCTTCAACAGCACATTCATACTTTCTTCTATTTTCTGCTGTTCTCTTCAGCTAGCTGGCTCCACAACTCCCAGTAATGCATCATCTTCTCCATGTCACCCTCGCACTGGCAACCTACTCGTTGCTTCACATTTGGATTCCACTCAAGCATTGAGCGCGAAATCATCCTACGACTTTCTCAACGTATGCCTCGGTAGTCCATCTCCATTTTCTTCTACATATTTGCTGAGCAGTCAACCCTTGGTTGCTTTGCTGAGTTCGTAGTTAATTTAGACGCAGCATACGAAACACGTTGCAAAAACCAACAAGAGTTAGTGATTGAGTACTATCGTGATAATAGGCTTACAGAACGCTCATAGGTGTGGAGGAGTAATATCTTTACAGGGGTGTGCACTCACTGTTTATAGATATGTGAGTAGATATCTAGGCTGTTGTTGCGGAAAATCTGTCCAGGAAGTCATGTTTCTCTTTTAGATTCTGATAAAAAATTAAGAGGTTTACCTGGGATACATACGAAAAAGTTACCCATGTAGCTACTTTTTAACATTTACTTTGATGCACAACCTCGTCTAGTTAACTAGCTTGCTAGTTTTCCAGCTGGTCCCATGACCGGATAAAGGGGAAGGGTAGGGCGTGGGCTAGCAACCCCTCACTGCTAAACCTATCAAACCACTATAGATAATTCAGCACACAGAAAACATATTAAAAATACAGAATATTCAGATACTAATCTTATCCTACCCTGGAACCAGGAAGGTGAAGTGACACAGCGAGCTGGTGAAAGACTTTGGGAGACCAGGTCTCTATTGGGGAAGGGATCAACCTAGATGATGAAAACAACAGAATATTTTCAACGGAATCTGATTATCAAAGAAGAGAAATAAACAAAACAGTGGGCTGATCACTATGAAAGACTCTTGGATTGACCATCACTCAACGCGCCCAGAAATACCACCACCAATAGAATGCACAGAACTGTTTGCCAGTGCACACTGTAGCGGTAAATAATTCCCCAAAATTATTGACCACAGCACTCATCACTGAACATTGTATGCCGACCCTCACTGTTTAAGTCAACTTGGTTAGCTGAAGACTCCCGATCAATCATCCACGCCATTTGGTACTCCATGGTGTCACTTTCGCTCGTTCGTGCACGATCCCTAGCTTAACATATTTATTTTCGAATATTAAATAAAGATTGTCTATTCGCGGAAGCGACTGGACGATTCTTACAATATTCAACTTGAGAACACACACAAAAAATAAAATACAATAATACCTAAAATCAATAGAAAAATAAGTAAAAAATAATGATTCTTAAATTACGTAAGTAACCTGCGTACAGATAAATAAATATGTGAACGTAAATTGGTCAATTAAGCTAGTAAGACTAATAGACACAAGTTTAGAAAAGTTAGCACAGCAGCCCGTGTTGAACCCAATAACGTGTACTTTTTCTGCAGCACTATCAGTTAAATGTGTTTGAACATATATGTGTAGATGTGATTGATTGACTGTTTATGTCATATGTTGATGTGAGATATTCGTGAGTGGTACAAAAGTATGATTTTTAATAACTTATGTTTATAAGATCATCAAATGTAATACAAGTCTATTAATTCTGAGCATGTGAATGTTGCTTGCATATATGTATCATTGGTTAGCATGGACAGTTGAATGTAGCAATAGTATTTAACATCAGGAGAGGTTTATAACGGCAATATGCTCTATGCGTGTATGCAGTATGGAACAATTAGAATATGTAGAATAAACAAAGTTATCAGGCATTTTAGGAGGTCATTAACAGTATTATCGGTTCAGTGAGTATATATGTGTGTATGAGTGTCACAATGTGTCTCGCATGTGTGTATTATGCTAAATGGTAGTAGAGTAAACGGTAAAAAAGTATTCCTATGTGGCAATAAATTTACAATATCACTGGCTCAATTCTTTTCTACGTCTGAGTTCATACGTTCCATGCATGTAAGTATCGTAGATTTTCAAACAGTCTTTAATGGTTGAGATGCAGAGGTGTGAAATGTCGAAGGAGGTAATAAAGAGCCTACGAAGGTATTTTGCAGAGAGTTGACTGATCATCCCTCGATAAGAGATTACAACAGGAATTTGCATGATTCTTTCAACTGTATGTCCCATTGTAGACAAGAATCGTTTACATGCAGCGATCATCGTTGGAGCTCTGTATTTTAACATCTTCGACGCATGGCTGATGTAAATGTGGGCGTCGCCGCAGATTGTTACGTCGAGAAAGTATGCCACACCGTCTAACAGGATATTCAGATCTGGCTGACATGAAGATTTGGGTGTTGGAACATGCGGCTCGATGTAAAATCTGGTATTGAATTTGCATAGTTCGTTGGCGATCAGCTCGAGGACGTCGTTGTGTCTCTTGCATCTGACCTCATGGGTAAGAGAGCAATGCTGAAGAAAATGCTGAAGATTTTCTGGCTAACAACATCCAGCTCTGCAGTTGATGTCGATTCTAGGACGTCCCCGCACATGTCTCGTTTTTGTGCCCAAGAGTCCTCGACGCAGTTGAATGTACATAGAGTTTGGGCAAGACCATTTCAGGGTTGACAAGCCATTTGTGAGATTCAGGGCATGTTGTTGATCCCGTCAAACCATAACCATCCGCTGATGAGTGTAGCTGTTGCGCTCAGCTTTCATATGCTTCTTCTGCTAATGTTACTATTTGTCTGGGGACTGGCATAGGAAGATCGCAGATCCTAAGAAAAGGCGTGAAGGTGGCGGAG